GCGCGCTGCCGGTGGTACAGCCCTGCCGCAGCGCCCGCTGCTCCGGGGACGTCGCTGGGAGGCGAAGGCAGCGGCTGCGGGGGCTGCGGGGGCTGCGGGGGCTGCGGGGGCTGCGGGGGCTGCGGGGGCTGCGGGGGCTGCGGGGGCTGCGGCGGCCGCATCCAGCCCGACACGTCCCGGGAGAAGGGCTGGAAGGGACCCGCGCCCGGCTCCATCCCGATCCCTCCCGCGGGGCCCGCAGCAGCCATGACCCAGGGAAAGGTAGGAGGGATCCGGGCGGGATGAGCCCGTCCCTGTTGCATAACGGGAGCAGGAAAGGAGGGTGGAAGGGTTTGGGGAACAGAGCCACGGGTGGAAGGGGGAGCTGGAACCTGCACGGAACCTGCCACGGGGGTGGACGCGGCTGGGAGGTGGAAGGGGCTGGGGGGCTGGTTTTGGGGTTGGGGGCTGATTTAGGGATGACTTTGGGATTAGAGGCTGGTTTGGGGCTGGTTTTGGGATCGGGGGATGGTTTAGGGATGACGGATGCACAGCTCAAACCCTGTTGGACCTGTGGCCGGTTTTACCCCCCCGCGCCCCCCCCAGATCCCGGGTGCCGGGGGCTCCATGAGCTGTTCTGCTGTCCCACCCCTGTCCCCACCTGGCAGCACCTCCTGCCTGACTCGGGGGGCTCTGAATTTTGGGGATTTTGGGGCTCTCCAGTGCTCTCAGAGCGAGGAGGGGGGGTTGTGGATCCTCTGCCAGCTCATGCACCATCGCCATGGCAACGCTCTGGATGCAGCTCCATCCCTTGGGATCGCCTTGGATATCTGGGGGGATGGGGAGGGGGCTTGTATGAACTCGGCCCCCAAACCCAAGGGACAGGGAAGGGCAGGGAAGGAGAGTCCCTGGGGCCGGCAGGGGAGGTGGCACAGCTGGATCTGCCCCTGGGACACATCCAGCCCGGCCCTGCTGTGTTTTCAGGCCCTGTGGCCCCAGCTGGAGCCCTGCTCTGCTCTCTTAATGCCCACTGGCTTTGGGGCAGCTGCAGCCCCCCGGAGCTGCGGGGACGCCGCTGCGGCTGAGCTGCCTCCTCCGCGGGCAGCAGGGTTTATCCTGGCAGTTTATCTGTCCCAGGCCCGTCTGGAAGGTTAAAGGGATCATGTTCCCAAGGAGTGCTCAGGTGGCCCCAGGTTGGCTCCCTGCTGCAATCCCAAGTCCTTGGAATGCCGGGAAGCACCAGAGCTGAGCCTCCACACGGGCAGAGAGGAGAAAATTCTGGAGGGCCAAACCAGAGCATTCCTGGGAGCATCTGACTCAAAATGGGGTAAATGGGAATGAAGAGTTCAGGATTTTCTGCCCAGGAACTGAAAACTCTTTTAAGAAGCAATGTTTGATGAGAAGCAGAGAATTCCTTGGATGGTTTTGGTGTCACGTTGAGCCTGAGGCACTGCGGGGGCTCCGTGTCTCCCCTCAGACCTCGCCACCTGGAACTTTTCATCCCAGTGAGCACCTCCGGGGCTTTCCCGTCTCCCCTGAGTCGTGGATACCCTTGCTGGGGGTGCAGGGATGGGCCCGTGTCCAGCGCCTGGGAATGGGGGCTCCCAGTTCCTGTGTGGCTCCCAGTTCCTGAGCCCTTTCCAGAACCCGTCCGTGGCAGCTTCTCATCCAGAGCGGTTTCTGGGATGCTTTTACTCAGGTCTCTCTCTCTTTGCCCCTTTCTGTGCAGCTCTCTGTGAACAACAAACCCCCCAGCTCTGAGGGGCAGGGGGACAAGAAGGACACTGCCACAGCCCCCCCGGCTCCTCCGTCCTATGAGGAGGCGACAGCAGGAGAAGGGATGAAATCCGGGACTTTTCCTGCCCCGCCCGCGGCCCCGCTCCACCCCAGCTGGGCTTACGTGGATCCCAGTAAGTCTTCCCATGGCTGTGCTGGGGTGAGCCCTGGGAGAGGGGCAGAGATCCCCCAGGATTGGAGAGGAGAGAGGGGAACCAGGAGAAGAGAGGGACCACGGATGTGGTGCCCAGGAGTCCCTACCAATGTGGAAAAGTTTCCATCTACACACAGAAGTCTCCATCTGCAGATGAAAGTCTGTATCTGTGAATAAAAGCCATTCCAGCTGTCCCAGAGACCTCACTCCCTTCCAGACGTGGGAGTAAACTCCTTCCCAGTCCCATGGTGGGAGAAATCCCCATTCCCAGCTCGCTGCCCTGAGCAATCCCAGTTCCTGGGGCTGGAGGGAAAGTCCTGGAGCAGCTGGATCCCCCCACCCCCTCCTGCAGCTCCCACTCAGCCCCAGCTCTCAGAGCAGCTGAGGTGGCACAATTGGTGTCACAATTGGTGTCACAGCCCTGAGTGTGGCTGTTGGCAGAGCCAGGGAGGCTGGGACACGGCTGGAGCCAAAGGCTGGATTGTTCCAGCATCCTTGTGGCCGTTCCTGGGCAAACCAGCAGTTTTTCCAACAGCCAGAAGCTCCCTGGAGCTTCTGCTGGGCCGTAGCCAAGGACAGAGCCCTGGCTGTGCCCAGGGAATGGCTGCAGGCTTGCCAGTGGGGCTGGAGCGGGATGGGGTGACTGGGAAGTGACCCTGGGGGTGGCTAAGTGCTCACTCAGCACAGTTCCAGCCAGAGAAAATGCTGGAATTATGGGATTTTGGGACTCCTGAGCTCTTGCCCTGCTTCATCCTTTGCTGCCTGTTGTGCCCAGCTGCAGGGATGGGATGTTTGGGGAGGGGGAAGGAGTGAAAATGTTCCCTGCTGTGTCTGTGCTGGCATGTCCTGATGGTTTCTCAGCCTTTCCCCTGAGGAACAGGATAAACCCCCCCAGGTGCCTCTGGGGATCATCTGGAGTTTTCTGCTGTTGTGATGAATTAGGGTGGGTGAGGCCTAAATGGGGTGAGATGGGGTATTTGGGTTCAGGGGGTGGGATGGGATATTTGGGTTTAGGGGTGGGATGGGGTATTTGGGGTTCAGGGGTGGGATGGGGTGTTTGGGTTCAGGGGTGGGATGGGGTATTTGGGGTTCAGGGGTGGGATGGGGTATTTGGGGTTCAGGGGTGGGATGGGGTGTTTGGGTTTAGGGGGTGAGATGGGATATTTGGGGTCTCCAGATGGGAAATCCACTCTATGGGATGTGTCACACCTTACTGGGAGCACCTGGAGAGAAGGGATGTGGATTTGGGGTTGTTTCTGTGACCATGAACTCAGGACACTCTGTCCTGCTGTGGCCTTGGTTGGGGGGACACACGTGGGGGCAGCAGGAGGGAGGAGGAGGAAACCCTCTGGATGCTGGGAGGGAGGGAGGAGGGTGAAACCCTTCAGCTCCTCCGGGGCATTGAGGGGCCAGCTGGGTGTTTAGGGGCCAATTTGGTGTTTAGGGGCCAATTTGGTGTTTAGGGGCTAATTTGGTGTTTAGGGGTGAATTTGGTGTTTAGAAGCCAATTTGGTGTTTAGGGGTGAATTTGGTGTTTAGAGGCCAATTTGGTGTTTAGGGGTGAATTTGGTGTTTAGAGGCCAATTTGGTGTTTAGGGGTGAATTTAGTGTTTAGGGGCTGGGACTGCTTTGGTGCAGGAGGCTTGGAAGTGTCCCAGGGATTGTCCTGGCCCCAGGTACTGTGGGACCCATGAGGGATCCAGGAGAACACGCGGGAGGTTCAGCTCCAGTGGGGCAGGAAGGGATTTACTGACAACAGAACAGCAGCAGAGACTTGTTTCCTGCTGGGGGCACCTAAGTGAAGCTCCTGCATTTTGAATGAGCAACTTTTGACCAGGAAAACAGGAGAAAATCAGGACCAGGACCTTGAGTTTGGCGCTCCTGGTGTCTGCTCTGAGATTGAGAGGGTCTTTGCTCCGTCTTCCTGAAGGATTTGGGTATCCTTGAGCTCAGAAGCTTTAGGAGGAGGGGAGGCGTCTGTGGACCAGGCAGGGACAGGAAGGTAAAGCAGGAAAATCACACAAAAGTCCTTCTGTGGAAACCCAGCAGGGGGGACTTCAGCGACACAGGAGGGGACATCAGCAAGGGAAGCAAAGAGGGCACAGAATGATCACAGAGTCATGGAAAGGTTTGGGTGGGATGGGACCTTTGAGCCCGTGCAGTCCCACCCCTGCCACAGCCAGGGACCTTCCACTCCCCCAGCCTGGCCTGGGACACTGCCAGGGACGGGGTAGGGGAAAGCAGCAGCAGGAGCTTCCCTTCCTGTTTGGGCAGGGCAGGGATGACTTGTGCAGGGATCTGAGGATTTGGGGGAAGGTTTTTCTCACTGGTAGCATTGGAGATGTTTCCTCCTTTTTGAGGCTCGCTGCTTAACTCTTTCCTGAGTCCCTGCCTAGAAATGGGATTGAGGGATGGAGCTCAGGGAGCTGCCAGGAGCTGCTCTCGGAGCAGGGACGTTGTTGACAAAAGCCACGATGCAAACACAGCTCAGGAGAGCAGCGAGGGAATCCTGCTGTCCGCTGGGAATGCTGACTCACGGCTGCTCTGGGGACGATTTAACATCCAGGGAAAGGAGAGCGAGGGATGATCCCAGCCCTCCCATTGCTGCGGGAGGTTTGGTGTTTCCTCAGACAGCGACCCAGCCTGGTGCTGGGATGGTTTGTGGGAATGCTCCCCCTCTGTTCCCAGGGATGGTCCCAAGGAGCTGCAGGAGCAGGAAGGGAGCAGAGGAACGCTTGGGAATTTGGGCACCTGAGCTGTGAGTGCTCCCTGGGCTCAGGTCCCACAGCCGGGGGGGAATTGGGGTGGGAGCTGCTCCTCTGGCCTCTCTGCAGGCACCAGCCCCAGCTACGGCAGCGGGGGGTACCCGGGGGACACGGAGCTGCTCACGACCTTCAGCTGGGATGACCGGAACGTGCGCAGGGTGTTCATCAGGAAGGTGAGAGAGGGACACGTCCCTCGCCCTCTGGGCTGGCAGGGCTGGACCCCCAGCCCTTGGAGGGCCTGGCTGTGCTGGGCTCTGGGATCCATGGATCACCACCTCTCCCTGCAGGTTTACGCCATCCTGATGATCCAGCTCCTGGTCACCGTTGTCATCGTGGCTTTCTTCACCTTCTGGTGGGTGCTGGGTGTGTCCTGAGCCATCTGAGACCTGGGCAGGTTCCTGGGGTTGTGTCACCTGGATTCTTTCTGAGTGTTCCAATAGAAAAGCAAAGCTGAGGGAACACTTGGAGGTCCCTGAGCGCTTTTGCTCCCATTCCCACCCAGGCTCGGGATTGGATCATCCATCCTGGGTGCTCCCCAGGGCTGCTGCCCTTGGGCAGTGACTGCTGGGTTTTCCCTGTGGGAGTTACCAGATCCCAGCTCCAGGGGCTGGCTTCCCTCCCCTGCTCATCCCCCTCTCCAGCTCGGATGACCGAGCGCTCTGGGTGTGTGTGGCTCATGTTGCCTCCAGAATAAATAATGGATCACTGCCAGCCTGGGGATTTGGGCTCCCTGATCCCCTGTGGGAGCCATTCCCAGCCACCTCCAGTGTGGAACTGGGGGAGCAGCACTGCCCTTCCCACCTGGAATTCCTCTCCAGGCCCAGGCTGCTGGGAGGATTCCCCAGGGCTGGGTTTTTAATCCCCGTGCTGGGGCTGCTCCTGGGCTCATCGAGCAGGGAGCTCTGAGGGACTGGGTTCTTCCTGCTCAGGCTCTCTCCTTCTGTCCTGCAGTGAACCCGTCAAGGGCTACATCCAGACCCACTCCGCCTGGTACTGGGCTTCCTAGTGAGTATCCCTGGCTTTTCCTGCAGCCTCGTGTGCTCCAGGCAGCCCGGATGGGGCTGTGGGGATGTGGGAAGGGTCTCCAACACTTCCCAACACTTCCCTGTCCTGCATGTGAAGTATCACTCCAAAGTGTCCAGGGGCAGCTGGGGAAGGTCACGGAATCACGGGTTGGGTTGGGAGGGACCTCAGAGCCCATCCAGTGCCTCCCTGGATGGGCAGGGACACCTCCCACCATGCCAGGCTGCTCCAAGCCCCAGTGTCCAACCTTGGGTGAGCCTGAGGTGAGCAGATGGCAGATCTCACCTGAATGAGCAAGAGACACGAGAGAGGAGAACTCCAAACACTTCCCCAAAAATGGCTCTAGAAACCAGGGTCAAAATAAATACCTATTTCCTGCAGAAAGCCAGAGAAAACTGGGGAGTTTCCAGTAAACAGTGTAGAAACTCCTGAATGAGACCTGGAAGGGTGTTCAGGGTACCTTAGAGGCTTGATTTTGGGAAGGTCTCTTGGGAAGCTCCAAAGATCTCCTTGCAGAACTTTCAGGAAAACACTGCAGAACCCCATATCTGATACCTGGGAGGATGTTCAGGGCACCATGGAGGCTGAATTTTGGGATTTTCCCCTTGGAAGCCAGGTGGTTGTTGGGGTTCCCATTACATTCTATCCAGTGGATATGGAGGGGGTGGATTTGGAGGTGTTGGGATGCTCCTGGCCATGTCTGAGCGGGGCTCTCGCTCCCGAGGCTCCATCCCAGAGCCCTGAGGTTGGGCTGCCTTTCCTTGGTTCCCCCAGCCCAGCCCAGAACGGAGCTCCCAGGTGCCGGCATCTCCTGGCTCCGTGGTTTCCAGGCTGCTGGCAGGGTCAGTGCGGTTCATTAAGTGTGAGGTGAACTCAGCTTTAATCAGTTCACACCCAAATCAGGAGATGAGACACCGGCTTATGTAACCCGGGAGAACTCTCCAATGGGAGCATCCGGCAGCTCTGGGGCACCAGGAGGGAGCCAAAGGTGCTCCAGAGGGCAGCTGGGCTTGGAGAGGCAGTGTCACCTCCCAGGGGACAGGGAGAGGAGGCTCAGGTCCCCACCTTGGCCTCTGGGGTCACCTCTTCCAGCTCCCTGCCCAGATGGAGTTTATTCCCTGTACTTCCCAGGAGGAACACGCCTGGGGCAGCTGGGGGGGTTCTGTCCTGGAGGAATTCCCCCTGTGCCCAGGTGAGACCCCACCTGCAGAGCTGCTCCAGCCCTGGGCCCGCACAGGGACACGAGGAGCTGCTGGAGAGAGCCCCGAGGAGCCTCGGAGCTGCTGCAGGGCTGGAGCCCCTCTGGAGCCGGGCTGGGAGAGCTGGGGGGGCTCACCTCACTGCAGGGAGAGCTCAGAGCCCCGCCAGGGCCTGAAGGGGCTCCAGGAGAGCTGGGGAGGGAGCGGGAACAAGGATGGAGGGACGGGAGCCAGGGAATGGATTGCTGGTGCCAGGGGCAGGGATGGATGGGAGACGGGGCAGGAATTCCTCCCGTCAGGGTGGGCAGGGGCTGGGATGGATTTCCCAGGGCAGCTGGGGCGGCCCCATCCCTGGAAGTCCAAATTCAGGTTGGACAGGGATTGGAGCAGCCTGGGACAGTGGGAGGTGTTCCTGCCATGGGAGGGGGTGGGAATGGGGTGGATTTTAAGGTCCTTTCCCACCCAGACCATTCCATGACTTTGATGTTTTTTCACTGCCCAGTGAGCTGAGCCCTTCCCTTCATTCCAGTGTCTCCAAATGTTTTTCCTGCTCTGTGCCTGGGTCTCCTTCCTAACCAGAGACCTCTGTAAAACAAACCTGGGAGCCCCAGGATGTTTTCCCACAGCTGGGATGGCACCTCAGCAGGAATAAGTCCAGAGCAGACAGGGATGGGCGACCCCGCTGGCTCTGTGCTCCAGCTGCTCAGCCGTGTCCAGTCTGGCTTTCCTGGTTTCCCAGTGGGAGAGCTGGGCCCGGGTTTATCTCCGTGCCCTGGATCTCGTGGCCCTGGGCTCTGCCGTCACCTCCCTGCCTTGGCCGAGGGTCAGCGGCTATCGGGAGCCATCGGCATGCCCGGAACTGCTGCCCCGGGGGAAGCAGGGGAGCAGCTTCCAGAGCCTGGAACAACACCCAGCTGCAGGCAGGAGAGCCTCCTTCAGCTCTGGGGCTGATGTGCTTTGAGAGGGGTCAAGTGCTGGGAGGTAAAACCTGCCAGGACCTGGGCACGGCTGGGCAGCCACGGCATGTTGGGCTCTGCTGAGCTGGGAGGATCCTCCTGCCCTGGGCTTGTCCCTGAGCGCTTTTCTGAATGGATCCTCCCGCCCTGAGCCCTTCCTCAAGTGCTCCAGCAGGGGAATCCTGGAATGGGTTGGGTTGCAGGGACCTTAAAGTCCATCCAGTGCCACCCCTGCCATGGACAGGGACACCTCCCACTGTCCCAGGTTACTCCAATCCCTGTCCAGCCTGGCCTTGTGCACTTCCAGGAATGGAAAGTCCAAAACTTCCCATTCCTGGAGGGATGTACCAAGGGAGCATCTCCCTCCTCCAGCACAGCTCCTCCAGCCCTGCCTGAGCCCGGTCACGTTTCCAGCCCTTGGTTTAAGAACCTCCAGCCTTGACACCCTCAAGCTACAAAGGGTTTGGAAACGAGGGGCAAATCCTGGCCCCTCCATGTGAGGAACTCACAGAACCATGGAATCTGGAATTGTGAAGGTGGGGAAAGCCCCTGGAGAACATCGAGTCCAGCCACCAACCCTCCCCTCACCGCTGGCCATGTCCTCCAGTGCCACATCCACAGGCTTTGGGCACTTCCAAGGGTGGGATTCCACCATTGCCTGGGCAGCCCCCTCCCCTGCCTGACCTCCCTTCCCATGAAGGAGCGTTTCCCAAGGGCCAGCACAAACCCAGTTCCCGCCCTGTTTGCCATCAGCACATTTGGGTGCTCTCCAGGGTCTGAACCCGACCTTGGCTCTGCTCTAAATCCAGCCCTCAGCTTCTCCAGGGATGTTTTGTCCCACCCTGGGGCCAGGCACATGCGGAGGAGCTCCCTGAGGGCAGGAAGGAGCTTAGTGAGAGGGACCAGGGGTAGGAGCCACCCTGACCCACTGGGTGTCTGCGTTTCCAACATCCCATCCCAGGCAATTCCCCCTGCACCACCCTCCCGGGCCGCCTTTCCCCCCTGAGCTCTCCCTCTCTCCTTGCAGCGCCGTGTTCTTCGTCACCTACCTGATCCTCGCCTGCTGCTCCGGGCCCAGGTAGGGGAAGGCTCTGGGGTCAGGGACAGCCTGGGGAACGCAGCAGGAATGTTTTCCTGAGCTTTCCAGCCCTGTAACGGGGTGGGGATGAAGCTGCTGTGTTTCCATGGGATCATGGAACGGTTTGGGTTGGGTTGGGGGGATCTCAAAGCCCACCCAGTGCCACCCTGCCATGGGTAGGGACACTTCCCACTGTCCCACGGTGCTCCAAGTCCCATCCAGCCTGGCCTTGGACACTTCCAGGGGTCCAGGGGCAGCCCCAGCTGTTCTGGGGAACCCGTTCCAGATGCTGGAAACAGCTGTTCCAGGCCTTGGGTTGCTGCAGCTCAGGAGTCCAGTTGCAGCTGTGACTCCTGGCAGAAACATTCCCTCGTTTGCAGCTCTGGATTGTGGGAATTAAACTTTTCAGAGGATGCTCTTGTCAGCTCCCAGTGCAGCAGGAATATCCTGGGACCTTTGTCCTGCTGGCCCCGGAGGACCCCAAACACCCTGTGGCTGCCCGCAGGGTCACTTGCATGGACATGAACTACCCAGCAGGGTCATTAACGGCCATTAATTACCCTCACAGTCACTAATTACCCTCAGCGTCAGGGATTCCCTGGCACAGCCCCTGCTGACTGGCCCCTGTTTCATTTCCAGGAGATACTTCCCATGGAATCTGATCCTGCTCAGCATCTTTGTGAGTAGCACATCTGGCCAACATCTGCCCTGGGCTCATAGTGGCTCCAAGGACAGGCACAAGGCTGCTGTTCCTGGGGAAAAGTGGGAATTCCATCCCCTTCTTGTCCTGTGCTTGGGCTGAGGAGCTGTGGTTGCACTTGGATGGGAGAAGCTGGGAAAAAAGAGAGCCTCTGTTTGTTAAAAAAATGCAAAAAATAATCTTGGAGTCTGGTGGGAACTGGGATTGGAGCTGGGGTGAGAACTGGAATGGGAACCAGATGGAAACTGGGATGGGAACTGGAGTGGGAACAGAGATAGGAGCTGAGATGTG